TAGTCTTTCTTCAATAGCCCAGGAAAGACTAAGGGGGAGCAATAGAGAATAATAGGCAGAATACGGGAGTTAACAAATTGTAGGAGTAAGGGTTGGGTTATTCCAGAATGTCTTAACTTCTTGATGTAGAAGGTAAGACGGAATATTTCCTTAGAAATCGTCAAGATATGAGACGACCAGGAAAGATCAGCAGGTAGAATGACGCCTAGGTATTTAATTTGCGACTTGGTTTCTATTTCAGTGGCATCAATGTTGCACACCTCGTGAGTGCTAACCAGTTTGTTTAGGTCAGATTTATGCCTAAGGGTGAAATTAACTGTTTGGTATTTGGAGGAGTTTAAGGTTAGACCGTTAAGCATTCACAGATACTGTTTATATATATTATGAATAGGAGTGGCCCTAATACACTTCCCTGGATTATAGCACTACTTACTGGTTTAGGCCTTGACATTATCGAGCCAACTTTCGTTATCTGACTTCGGCCACAGAGAAATGATTTTATTCAGCTCAAGAGAGGGTCACATATCCCTAGTGAGCATAACCTGCTGACTAGCAGATTATGGGGGACTCTATCGAAGGCTTTTGTTATATCGAAATATAGCACAATTACTAGTTCTCTGTTGTCCCTGCTTCGTGTAACTTCGTTGAAAAAGTCTGTGACAGGTCACACATGATCTCTTTTTGAGGAATCCGTGTTGTGATGGATTGATAAGTTCATGTTCTAGTAAGTTGTCTGACACTTGGTCTTTAACCACTTTCTCCATTATTCGTGATATTACCGGTGTTATATTAATAGGTCTATAGTTGCATTCACTGGTTTTGGCCCCTGCTTTGTGCTTAGGTAATATGTATGTGGTTTTCCACACTTCAGGATAAGTTCCAGTTTCCAGTGACAGAGTAAATATTCTAACTAACAAGACTACCATTTCCGTGCTACCATTTTTGTATATGACAGATGGTATGTCGTCTGTTCCAGTACTGCCATTTGACTTCAATGTCTTAATCGCTGAGTCTATATTTTGTATATTAAAATCTATTTCTCCTAATTTATGGTTACTTTTGCAGGTCATTTGGAAATTTGGGGTCGGGTGCACTCTGGTGTCCTTGCAAAACCACTCACTGAGGAGTTCTCTTATAAGCTGGGGATCGTTGTATATTATACCCTTATGTTCCAAGATGCTTACATTATTGTCTTTACTGCTTTTTAGACGTTTCTGCAATATTCTACAAAGTTCCTGAGTTTTGGGGTTACCCATAAGCGCTTTATTTTCTTTAAGTTGTGACATCATTTTGTGTTTCTCCTCAAGCAGTTTAAGAGTTTCAGGTATTTGGTTTAACGCATTAAATTCCTTAAATACATGGTATTTCCTTTCCAATTTCCTTAGTTTTAGTCGCGTTTTCCGGTCAATAAATGGAGTTGGTGTCTTTAGGGCAGATTTTAGGGGCGCGATTGTGTCTCTTGCTGAGCCAACTGTTTTGTAGAAAATCTCAAGTGATACTTCTAAGTCATTGTTGATGAAGTATTCTTCCCAGTCAGAACTTCTCAACAGATCTGATAGGAATTCCCAATCAGCATTCTTATAGTCCCTATATTGATAGCGCACCGGGGAATTTTTAGGTGTGTATTTAGTTGTTAGTCGGAGGGGGAGCGTGCAGTACAATATGTTGTGATCACTGTTATCGAGTTTATTTCCCGCCTCTATCGAGATGGGCTCTATGTTATGACAGAGTATTAAGTCAAGAGTATTTTGGTTCCTTGTAGGTAGGCGTACGCACTGCTTCCATCCTCCTATGTCTATAGCTTGTAGTAGCTTTTCATGGATTCTTGGTCCTGTACAGGTATCCCAGTTTACTCCAGGTAAGTTGAAATCTCCACATACTACTTTGTAGTCGAAGTCCAGCGTGGCTACATGCTCTAGTATTTCTGCAATAGTTATATCAGTCATTTCAGGGCTATTGGGGGGTCTGTATATACATCCCACGAGAATTTTACTTTCGTTTGTGTGGATGCTTATCCACTTAGATTCTGGGAGTTTGTCAGTATTTGAGTTATTGAAAGTATTGGAGTTAGTGGATTTATAGGCATATATTAAGCAACCGCCTCCTCTTTTGTCAACTCTATCGTTCCTATAGATGTCGTAGTTGTCTATTACCAGCTTTGTGTCAGGTATATCAGTAGTAAGCCAGGTTTCAGTCACCATTATTAGTGTTGGCCGTTCTATGTATGCCAGGCAGCGAAGCGTTGTTATTTTATTAAGGAGAGATCTAGCATTCAGGAGCATAATTATTAGTGAACCAGAGTTATTGGGGGAGAGGTTAACACGGTTACTTGTTACTACCCCTACGTTATGTTTGGAGGGGCTCTGAGGTGAGACAGAGTCAGTGTGTGTACTATTTCCTGGATGAACTGTGCAGCGAGTGGGGCTATTGTTTGCTGCAGCCGAAAATAATCCTGTTGCATATTTTGACTATTAGCATCCATGGGTCGGCATCTGCGTTGATCTACTGGTGATATATGGTCTGCCCTGCAAAATGTTTCTAATCATGCTGCAGATAGATTACTTATCTAATGATTAAGTGAAAAATATAGTGAGGGATGACACGCGCGATTTTAATCATCACTTGCTTTTCGGAAGGCCGAACAAACTCAGGGGTGGTAACAGAAAGATAAAAATACCAATTGAGTCCGTTAGTCGCACCAGTTTCTCGAGAGGCAAAAATTTGCTATTATTCAAAAAACTAAAGTCTTACACGTCGTGACCAAGGAACACAAACAGCAGCTTTAAGACTTGAGAAACAACAAAGATCTAATTATTACACGTCCATACAAAGGTTGGGGAGTGGTCCTCACAGGTAAAGATAGGTTTATCAATAAATTGACAGTTCCAGTCTCTGATGACAATAAATTTTCAAGACCAGACAATGAGAAGAATAAGAAAAATTGATGAAGCAGTGACTGACAGATGTCTTTAGAAAAATGAAGGACGAATGTCTCATAATTGATCACCTGTTTTGGATGTCTGAGACCAACAGGATCAATTATCTCTAGAATCTGCGGTCTGCCAACGGTGCCAAAAGGAGGACTACTACGTCGACCAATTTTAGGCATGGCAGAATTATCATACCTTCTGACAGTCAGATGACCGTTTGAAATGCTGGAGCTTGTGAGACAACAATTTTGTAAGTACTTTCCTAGAGATACTTTTGAATCTACTGAGTGCAAAAATGACTTGAATGTAAACGACGAATGAATGTCCTCACTGGACGTAGAATCTCTATTTACGAGCGCGCCTCTCACAGACACATTTTTTTTCTTTTGCAAATATATGGATGACAAGAATCTGAACATCGGAATAACAATCTAGTGTATGAAAGAGATGTTAATAAGATGCGCACTTTGCGTACAGATTACACTCAACGACGTCATCTATAGACAGAAAGATGGGATCATTATGGGCTGTACCCTTGGGCAACTTTTGGCAGACTGCTTCATGGCAAGCCTGGAAAACGGGGTCTTAAAATCAACAATCGAAAAATTACTGCTGTACAAAGATACATCGATGACACTTTTATAGTTTGTCAGGATTATTCTGATTTAAATTGGATCTTGCAGGATTTTAATGGCGGCCACCCGTCAATTAAATTCACAATGGGGGTTGAAAATGAATCAAAGATTCCATTACTGGACGACGGATTGACAAGAACAGATGACGGGACTCTGAAAAGATCTGTCCGTAGAAAGCCAACATGGAATGGGCAACTGACGAACTTCTACAGTTGGATACCTATCAGCCGTAAAAGAGCTCTCATCTTCATATAATAATATCTTGCTAGCCCATCGTAGCAAAAGAACTTGTAGCGATGACTGTTTAGAAGAAAAGCTCCTGTTTCTCAAAAGCATCCTGGTTCAAAATGGATATCCACCGCGTTTCAGAGAGAAGAACATAAAATCAAAGCAAAAAGACAAGAATACACAAAAACGCTTTATTTTGATCTGGAATTCAGGAGAGACCTAGCAGCAGATATTCTTAAAAAGGAATCCCCAATTCCCTAAAGAAGACTCTAAGAGTGATATTCTCTGGTCACCCACTATTTTGGAGCAATGGGAAGGACAGACGTCTGCATATGACCACTTCAATGTGCATGCATCAGTTCACCTGTTCGTCTGGAGATAGGTAGACAGGTCGTTCCATGTTGGTCTTAACAAAACGTTTTAGAGAACATCGTGCAGAATGGATGCGAAGAGAAAGCGCCGGCTCAATCAGAAGCACCATAACTGAACACCTCGTTAATATTTGTCACAGCATCTCAACTGACTCCTCATTCAGAGTCATTTACAAAGCAAATCTGCCAAGGACAGTGTGTTTCTAACCTTTTTGTACTGTAGAAGCCCTCTCCATATACATCGAAAAGCCGAAGTTGTGTGCTCAAAAGAAACTAGTCCAGCCTTTACAACTACCTTGGACCTAGTTTGGCATGTTCCATAAGCCTTAGGCTTTCGCGTGTATTTTTCTCTCGTTGTCTTCATTCAATTCATCCCATTTCTTCAGTTATAAGAGCAAATTTTTAAGTGTGTTTGCATATCCCTCCTACTCACACTAGTAATTCGTTTGGAATAATTATTATACATTTGCGTTCTAATCCTGTGCAGTTTTGTCTCTAAGCCAGTTGTATCCTGTATTCACACCCCCTAACTTCCATTTCGAGCTGAAAATTGTGATTTAAATTTGTTTCCATGCTCATTTTATTCACATCTTTAATTTGTTCTGTTCCTGAGTAATTTCAAATCCTCTAGTAATCCATATCAACCTAAAAATAATTGTCACCTTTTATTCGCATTTGTAATTATGTGGAAGCAAATAATAGTTGCGTCTGTGTCAATTTATGTATTTAAATGAGATTGTGCAGCTTTTGAGAATGAAATTGGCGGAGAGATATCTTCGCTGAACTTCCTGCTCTTTTCCTTTTTATTTCTTTAAGCCAACGTACAGAGGAGAAATATGAATCACCAGTCAACTCCTCCAGCAGAGTGAGTCCAGAAATTATAGAAAAGTGAAGTCGGAAAATCTCGTACATTCAAATCAGATCAGGATTTGTTTTTAGGACCGTCATTGTTAGAATTGTTAGTTGGACATGACCTAGAAAACTTTCAAACACGCGGTTTGACCTTGAAAAGGTATGTTGGCGTGGTTTCCGTAGCCGAGGTTTTATTCATTTGCGTAGACATTCATTGTGATTGTTGGATAAAAAGTACTTTTCCCATGTGAAATTTATGGGAGAAGAAATTGGTTCCACAATTAGATGTCTTATCTAAACATATTACTGTCACAAGACCTGTTATGTGAAGAATCTAAAGATTCTTCAGGATTTAGGGTCTCAACATCCACAAAAGTTCAATGGACCGTATTTTCACAACATAAATCGCACGCAACTAGATACAAATTTTGATGAGGCGGCTGTATAGTGATCTAATGGGTTGATTGTGTAAATTACTCAATTTTTCTCATGTAAGTATTTTCAGGGAAATTGGCCAAATTCAAGGGTATTTTCCCAAAATTCTTGTAATAGTATGTACTCTTAAAGTGAATCTTCTGATTCGGTAACTATAATCATATTTTATTGGCGATATTGCCAATTGATGTTATTGGTCTGCATGTTCCTGAGCCAGCAGGGGCTTGAGCTGAATTTCTTTAGGTGAACCTCACTAATGGAGATATTTCTACCTACGAACTAATACAAGTGCTGTGCATTGATTGATGTGTTTCGTATTGACCTTGTATTTATTATTCATTCTATGATTACATAAGGCTGGAACGTTGATGAACTTTTCACGAAATATCAGTAAAAAGTTTGAGCATTGTGGATTAGATTAAATAAAGTATAATTATATTTCAATAATTTACACAATGATAGGTTTTGTTATTGGTAATATTTGGAGCAAAACTACTTCCCGTGTTCACACCACTGTTGGAATTTTTTTATTCTTTTTATTTTATTTCTTATATGTTTTTATGTTTTATTTTTTTATATGGCGAATAAAACAATTCCAACAGTGGTGTGAACACGGGCAGTAATTTGCTCGAAATATTACCAATAACAATACCTATCATTGTGTGTAAACTATTGAAATATAATTATACTTTATTTGATCTATTCCACAATGCTCAAACTTTTTACTGACATTAACACCATCTAAATCATTAATTAATGTAAGAGCTAATGGAAAGTTGTCATATAAAGTAGAAACTACTGGTGGTGTTTGTCAGGGTAACCTACTGTCACCATTCATCTGATATCATTATAAATATACTGATGGCTTTTATTCTGACCACTGGTATTTCGCGAATCGATTTGCTACTAGGAAAAAGTCTCATTGGTATATATTACAAAGGAGGTTCTCTTATTTTAATACGAATACAAGTGAAAGTCTGAGTATATTTGGGATTCGTTACCCCGCTGTCTAGTGTAAGATGACACTGTAAAACCAACTTATATTAACTCATGGTCTGACTGATTCAGTTCTTAGTGTCAAACTTTGCACTGAAGTGTAGCAGTTCAAATTTCCACACCAAATAGGGCAAACAAAAAGAGAATTCAAAGGAATTATAATGAAAGAATACGTGTGAGAGGAAGAATAAGTGCATAAACGATAAAGAGAATTTGATGTATCTAGGAGTTCATGAAGAGTGAACGCATCTATGCTACCGAGAACAATTTTGATGCACATCACCAACTATCTTCTGCTGTTGGTTCTTGGCGTCTCGAAGACACTAGTTAGGCAGTCTATATCCTCAAAAATGGCTTGAACAGACATTTAAAACCATGTTTTGATTTGTATACATTACTTCAATTCTTCTTTTATGGATATCGAATAATTTTAGTATGCTTGGTTCTTAAAATTTCATGACAACAATAAAATTGAACTCGGAAAGCATTAGAAAGACTGAACAAACAGTAATTATGTAGTGTATTATTGATTCGAAATACATTCCTTAAAAAATCTACTTTGTTCAACCACTAGACTTTAGAGACGATTGATATTTCCACATACTGTCATAATTCTCAAGTGAATCGAGACTAGTCTGGCTTTTTCAGTTCTATGGCTATCAGCGTTGAATTTGTAAAATTTGAAAAAAAGGTGAATGGCTGTAATTTATTTCCTAGTGAGGTAGTACAAATGCACTGGCTCTTACTGACTATTGGTTTCAGGTTATATGCAGCCGTTGTAGCTGCGTCTACAGCTAACTATTCTGGTACATCAAATCGCTTATGCAAATGATATAAGTCAACCAAGTAGTGTTACTATTTCCGTTTTGTAAAGATATTATCAGGGGGTAGGATTTGCTTGGCTAAAGTAAAGAAGTCCAAGTCAATACGTAAAACGTTCTCCGCTATTTGAAAGAAACAAGTGCTACATCTGAAGAAATGCACTGGCTAAAGTTGCTGCATTTTAAGACACTTTGCCTAAAGTGACTAGATGTAAAACAATACCACAGTGACTGAAAGCTGTTGCAGAAAAAAGGGAAATTAGATACTCAAAGTTTGGCATATAATAAACAGTAAATGCATTTCTATAGTTAAAAGTCAATCTAGACGAAGAATATTCTTTTCAATAATTTCTCTTCAGGTTCTTACAATTATTAAATATAATATTTGTTTTTGTTACAATACAGGTCCACACTACAAATCTATTATGATTAATCACCACCATTGTCTCCCGTTTTACAATATTTTGGTAATCGATTTTAGCCTAGCACGTTTGTCACACAAATACGACTATTTATTTTGACACCCCGTAAATAATCTGTTATTCTACGTTAAAAATGTATCCGCCGCATAACTGGCCTTTATTCTAACGACAACAAATATGTTTTATAATTGTAAGGACCTGAAGAGAAATTATTAAAAAGAATATTCTTTGTTCAGATTGACTTTTAATTTATAATATGGGAATATTTCACACTATCAAATTCCTATAGTTGCTAGCGATTCTGATCTATCACCGATAATCGCCTGTGATTCATTCATAAAATCTTAAGAGCAACTACCTGAAAACCTGCTCCTCACCTGTCTCAAAGAACAATGAGACACTTTGTGAGTTGATGTGACGTTTTGATATGACTACTTGCAATTCGCATTTAACCTAATTCTCCTCCAGCCCTCATTGCTTGTATTAAATGGTGTTTCAAAATGTGCACTATGTATCCAGGCTGCACTATTTGAGGAGGAATCACATCTGTCTGTCTGTCTGTTTTCGACATAGAACTTTGCACAAATGTGCGGAAGTTCAAGTCGCCACATTCCGTGTAGCACGCGAAGCAAGAGAAGAAAGTACAAGAAAAGCATAATAGAAACAGTGAGCAGAGGTGTGAGACAAAGGAGTAATAAAGAAATACAAAACAGTTTCATTGAAGATCATAAGTCACAGGGAGTGGATGCATCTGCGCCACTGAGAACGATTTTGAGCCATGTCACCAATTGTTTCCAACCATAGATTTTTACCGTCCCGAGGACCCCAGCCTGGAAGTCTACACCTTTCTACGTGGCTTAGACCAACTGTTGTGGATTTCATTGACTGATGCCAAGTTTTTGTTTGACCGCCGCTAGCTTTTTTCCAGCCTGACCCTATATCCGCTAACATAGCTCGTCGAGGGAGGCGATGATGGCTTGGCATACGTAACACATGTCCTAACCATCTCAGTCTTTGTAGCTTCACGACTTCGTCGATTGATTTCCCCTGTTTACCTAGAACTCGACGCCTAACCTCCATGTTGCTCACCTTATTATGCCACTTTACACGGGAAATAGAACGCAGGCACCTATGATCAAAGACAGCTAGTCTTTTCATGTCTTCCACTCTCAGTGGCCAGGTCTCACAACCATAAAGGAGGACGGAGCGGACTGATGAGCAGTACACCCGCCCTTTGGTCGATAGTCGAACATCTCGTCTACGCCAGAGTCGGCGTAAACTAACAAATGCGAAACGAGCCCCTTGTATTCGTGCTGAGATTTCGTCAGAGATCAGCCCGTTGGGGCTGATGGTACTTCCCAAATAAGTGAAGCGGTCAACGTGCTCTACCACTTCACTTCCTATTTTTAAACTAGGCGTCGATGTAGTCCAGTCCTGTAACATCATCTTGCATTTGGCGGGAGCGAATCGCATGCCAAACATTCGTAGATTGCGGCTCAAGGTGTTTAGAAGACTCTGCATTTCGTCAGCGTCTTCGCCTAGAAGGACTATATCGTCTGCATATTCCAAGTCAACGAGATTATTCCCCGGTAGCAAGTCAATCCCTGAGTCGCTGAAGTCACCTAGGGTTAAGTCCATTAACACATCTATGATGAAGTTGAATAGAAAAGGAGATAATGGGCATCCTTGACGGACACCACTGGTCGTCATCAGTTCAGATGACAGCTCGCCGTAAGCCCTCACCTGGCTGTATGAGTACGAGTAGAGTGCCTTAATCAGTGCAATATATTTTCTTGGAATTCCCTTTACAGCCAAGCATCTCCAGAGAACTTCCCGATCGACAGAGTCGAATGCTGCCTTTAGGTCAAGAAATATAATGACTGTTGGACGCCGGTAGGAATGCCTATGTTCTAGAATCTGTCGGAGGGTGAAGATATGATCAATACACCCTCTTCCTGGTCTAAAGCCTGCCTGGCTCTCTCGTGTTTGTTCCTCCCGAGCACCACTCAGTCTACGCATGATTATTGAGCCTAAGACTTTAGATACTATATTAGTCAAGCTAATCCCTCTGTGATTATCACAGGAAGACTTGTCTCCCTTCTTGTATATGGGGATAATCAGTGACTTACACCAACCCGATGGGACTTCTTCTGATTCCCAGACGCTGCCTAGTACCTCAGTTAATCCGGACAGTAAGCTGTCTCCACCGTACTTAAATACCTCTGGAGTCATTCCATCAGGTCCCGCTGCTTTGCCTAGTTTCAGATTGGTGACAGCTTTAGTAACCTCAGTTAGTGACGGAGGACCTGTGTTTATATCCCATTCAGGGAGGTGTTGGATGCTCGGAAGGTTGAGCGTGGCTGTGGGCAAATTAAACTGCTCCTCATAATGCTCTTTCCAACGATCCAGTCGTCTATCCTGGGAGCTAATTATAGTGCCATTTTTTTCCGAGATTGTCTCACTGATGATTTGTCTTCTCCCACCCGTTTCCCTGATGAGTCCAAAGAGTTGCCTGGTGTTGCCTATCCTCGAAGCTTTCTCCATCTCTTTGGCTTTTGTCGCCCACCACTGTTCACGGTCCTTGCGGAGACTTTTCGTAAGTTTCCTCTTGTGCAGCTTTCGCTCCTCATTGAATTCGGAGCTCGCCGGAATAAGTCTTCTAGCATCTATCAGTTCGGATGAGGCGGTGGAGATCCAGTGGTTTTTACTCACCTTTGGGTTTACCTTATTCACAGCTTTTACAGCTGTATCTATGGCTGCCTGGATATTTTTCCAAGCTTCTTCAGGGTGAGCACAGCTGTCGAACACAGATATGTGTTTAGCTAGTTCTTCCTCAAATACGGATTTAGTTTCCTGATCGAGCTGGGGACGTGATGGTTTTACCGCCAGCTGTTTCCTACGTCCGTTCAGTCGTAAGCACACCCGAGCGCGGACCAGTGCATGGTCGGTATCTACGCACGTGTTCCAGAAGGAGCGACAATCTCCTACCGACCCACGCCAACGATAGCTTATTGCTATGTGGTCTATTTGTGTCCAGCGTTGGTTTGATGAAGGGGGTCTCCAAGTCAAACAGTGTCTCTCCTTGTGTTTAAAGTTAGTGCTTACAAGAAACAAATGATTATCAGAGCAGAACTGTAGGAGACGGTCACCGTTGTCGGTTCGCTGGCACGGAGCTCCATAGGTGCCACCGACATCCTTCTCAGATTGACACAATTTCCCTACTTGAGCGTTAAAGTCACCAGCTAGAACGACTATGTCTGAGCGTTTAGCCTTTCGCACCAAACTAGACAGCTTTTGGTAGAACTCATCCTTCGTTTCATCTGAACTGCAGTCAGTGGGGGCGTAGGCGGAGATTACGAAAAGGCATCTCTCTCTTTACTTCGGCTATCTCCTACGGGAGGATGAGCCGGCTTCATGAACGTCTCGAATCATCGCTGCCCAGGCGCGGCAATTTGTAAGAGAGTTCATGAAGTTTCATGGGAATTTGGTACGAGTGATGTCCCCAGCATCGCTCGGCCTTTTGTTTGAGAGTGCAGCTCTAGCCTTTACACAGCCAAGTGTGACCTACAAGGCAGTGGGAGTGGAGTAAGGAGTCCACTATCCATTGGCAGCCGGTGACCGGAGTTCGGTTCATACGCCTTTTTGAATGGGGCCAGACATCCAGGACATCCAACAAGCCCTTTGTCCATACGTCTGCCGGTGAGCTCCAGCGAGCTTCATACGCCAGTCGTTGGAGGTTTGGAATCAGGGTTTAGCCATCTCCCCTAGACTGTCATCCAATGGACAGTCAACCCGGTGGAGAGCGCCGGGCATCCGCTTTCGCCCTCTCACTTTGGTGAGAAACACCTCCGCCACGTGAAGGCAGTGAGTAGGACTTCCTCAGGAGAAGCTATGTAAGACGCCCGGTCATATGGGAGCATTTCAGGAGGTGTGCGGAGGGGTGGCCAACCCGCAGCGCAAGGCACCCACCCCCGACCATCCTGAGGCTTTGGAAGAAGAGCAAAAAGATATTATTTTTATTGACATTTCGCCATTTAATGCTAACAGCTTTATGAAAGTATTATTAAACTAGAATTAACAAAATCTTACCTTATATATAACACAGTTAAAAGTGTTGGTTTGAGGGGACTTGATTGGTCGCAGAAGTTCATCATGAGCTGACAATGTTTAGAGAACCATTGGAAAACCTAGGAGTACTAGAAAGCTGCTTTGTCCTAGTCTGGGAATCTTCAGTGGCGCGCACCCGACGGGGTTCGAAACCTGTGACTTTATGTCCACGAGATCGCCTTGTAACCGGAAGGTTTGAAAACCGGTGGGTGTGTACTGATGGAGAGTCCCAAACTAGGACGAGACAGATGTCCAGTACTCCAAGGTGTTCCAAAGGTTCTTTAAACGAAGTTAGCTCATGATGAAATCCTGTAAACAATCAGAAGTCTGACTGGCTGAATGGTTTCAACATAGAACTTTGCACTGATGTGCAGCAGTTCAAGTCGCCACACTCCATGCAGCATTCAAAGCAACAGAAAGTAAAAAGGAATGCAAAAGAGATAATAAACAGAAACATGAGGTAAAAAGAATAGCGATATGGAAGAATAAAAGTTTTATTGGATATCATAAGCCACTGAGTACGATTCTGAACCATATCACCAATTGTCTCCAGTCATTGGTTTTCACCGTCCCGAAGACCTCAATCAGGAATTCTACACATTCCTACGTGACTTAGACTAACTGCTGTGGATTTCGTTGACTGATAAAGTTATGTTTTGGTTTGACTACCACTGCCCAAATACAACCATATATAATACATGGCTTATAATCTCGACACTCTTGTTTCAGGTTAGTCTGAAGATTAATTCTCACTGTTAATAAGCAATTATACATCTAGAAGGTGAACAGTCCAAAGACGAATGTTGCACAGTGATTTGAAATATACATCGATATACTAAACAGTAGACAAAGATATGAACCCTCCATTTCATCTGTCGACGTTTAAACAATCGACCTTAACGCGAAATAGCTCAATATGTGACTGTTAAGCAGTATCAAATAGAAATGTTTACCGATAAATTCCATAAAAAACATCGGCGAGTAGTGCAGTCCTTCCTCCTTCTTACTGATCCGTTCAGGCGGACAGCACACATTCGGCTATCTACCGGGATCCAATCAAGCAATGTCTTTTCTGCCCTAGTACTCAAAGCTATCCCTACACCAGCTAATCCTCGTGAACTAGCTGTGGCATCTCCTGACACCCTCAAGGTGAATTTTGCAGATTCAACCTGTTGGCCAGGTGGGGTTAGGTGAATAACCACACTTGGGTCTTGTGTGCGTGTTTTTGAAACACAGCATACATCAATGGCTCGTGATGCCAGGGTCTTGGCTAGTGATGCTTGTTGTCCTATTTGGCAAAGTGTCCTAACATTAAGAGCTCCTATATGAAATTGGTGGTGCGGCTTTAAGCGGCTGTCGGTGGTGGTTTTTTGGCTTCCGTTGTTTTTAGTGGACACAGAGTGGAGAGGAAGTGGAGAGCTATCAAGTCGAGGAGTTGCATCAGTGGAAGGAAGGCAAGATGATAGAGGTGAAGATGAAGACAAAGATGAGTGAGTAATAGAGAGGTTTCGTGTGCATTTCGGATTGTGAGGGCGATTGTTACTTCCCGGCTGCCCACACCGTGGAAGTTGGTTGCGTGACCGCAGAGCCCAGGGGACAACTGCTTGAGGCCGGTCACACGCGGCCTGTTTTTGTTCGTTCTTTTTTGTTTGGTGTGTCTCAGTAGCAGATTTATCACTCCTGCCCTGTGACACGGCAGCAGGAAGCGCGGTCGTTGTTAATCCGGGCCACGGCCGATCCGGCATAACATTTTGTGATTTTGTATTGGACATGATGTTGGATTGGGTAGCTGCTTTTTGTTTAACCGCTATCCAAACAACCTGCCTGGCATGGTAGTACCTCAAGAGACACAAGTCTCAGCCAGTATAGCTTGAATAGATCATTGCGGTGTTCAAGCCCGACCACCACGTCAAGGTAGCAGCTTTCGGTCACATCCCCATGACTTGAGTTATCTTAGTAGTGTTACTGATGTTACTTAAGAAAGCAACTGCAGTCAGAAAACTTTGATGTTTTCTGGCTTTAGCCTCTCTGCTTCATAGTTGTAAAACAGGATCAAATGAGTGAAGAAATAAGCTCACTAAGTAAAGACGATAAAATTTGTAAAGCCTTAAATTGTACTCGTTTATCGTTTTAAATTCTTTATTATCTAACAATACCTTCTCTTTGATGCTTTGTGATTATCCGGAATATTGATTTTTATTCGTTTGTTGTTTTCCTTCTTTTTGTATATGAAAGATTTCACAAGTTTAGTTAGTAAACCATAACTCTCGATCGTATTTTGCTGATACCCTTCCGATAAGGATACAATTAATCAGATCACATGAAGTTTTAATACAAGCGTGTTTTACCTTGTGTTTTCACATTGTAGAGTCTTGTCTTGGAATAAAGTAATTATTACTATTATTATTATTGTTACTGTTACCGTTATCATTAATCATTTGAATAATTCCTTCTACTCTCATCAACTGTTTACCTACACATCAAGCTTAATAACAAAGCAGTTATCCTGATGGATATACAGAGCGCAATACTTCACGAGTTAGATATTACAAATGAATTCAGATCAGACGTATTGGCGAGTAAACTTGGAGTCGACCATCAGGTGATTGTTGGAGGGATAAAAAGCTTAGAAAACTATAACGGAGTATGTTCCCCATCATATTTTTTAACAGAAAAATTTCCTTAAATAGATAATAAAGTGTGAAAATATTACTGAAGTGCTTTTATTACTGACAGAAGAAGGCGAAGAGATATTGAACAATGGTAGTCACGAATATCGAGTGTATTGTGCAGTCCCTGGGTCAGGTGTAGCACAAAGTGATATTTTGGTTTGTTTTTATCTCATACTTCAAATTGCTCAATTCAACAGAAAATATTTCCCAGTGCTAAAATAGGCATTAGTAAAGCACTTGCTTTAAAGTGGATAAAATTAACAAAAACTGAAGATGGTACACCCTATTTATATCGTCTGGTGAGTACATTACATATTAAAGTATATTTATACTAGATTCCTGAAGTGAACGATGATGTGCAGCAACTACTGTCGGAAGTAAAACAGTCCACATGTTCGTTATCTGATAATGACAAGTCGCAGCTAAAGAAACGAAAACTAGTAAATGAATCGTATGTCTGCCTTATGTTCACCATGGATATACTTTTCTCTCTCCTCTTTATCTTGTTTCTCCAGAAAGCGTACGTTGTATTTGGTCCGGCAAGGTCCCGCATTTTCCACAAATTTAAGCGCAGAAGAAACAGATTTATCATCTGACTTACTATCAAGGTGAGTGAATTTGTTTTATAGTTGCTAGAAGTACAAGAAAGGAAAATGTTGAAGATATCTGACCAGAGGGAGGTATTTTTGTTAAGCAGCGCAATATGCTACGTAATAATTAGGTTAGGTGTAGACCGGATAGGTAAGTAGATTGATGAAGTGGTAATGAAACTTGGATGATTGAATTGACTAGGATATGTACTACGCGTGTTGAGTCGCAGCCTTTCTGGGCGAATAGTTTCTGAGTAGGCTGGAAAAGAACTAGGAGTGGTCAGATAAAAATGTGACATCAACTTATGATGCCACTGACCATATAGGCCTGAACCACATAGGAAGGGGTAAGTTATGTGGTTGAACTTCTTGTGGTGCTAAGAATCAGTAGTTGAAGAAAGTATCAACCATTGGTTGATGGCTTAGAGTTTTTCTTAACGCCGTAAATGTATTAGCTCTGTCATTATTTGAAATTCCTAACGTTACTATTCTTAAATGAACTGTCGTCAAGATATGACAGAATAGTTCTAAAATATTCGGCCACCGAGTGAGAAGTAGACATTTGTAAAAATTATATTTGTAAAATCTCAGCGAGAGTGAGATGAGTAATTCCAATGTTTCGTTTGGCAATCTGGTCTGAACTTCTTCAGAGGTTTATATAAGCCTCTGTTATGTTAATTTCGACTAATTAAGTCAGGAAAGACTCAAATACTCACAAGCATATTTGTTGCCTAAATCGATAAACTAGCTTTAGAAATGTTATCCACCTGTAAATATAACTGTGAATCTGAAGAGATAACTGCTTACTGTGTTTTAAATCGAGTCAAATTGGATTTACCCTCCGAAATTTCTTACTGCTGACAGTAGATCTACCTAGAAGAGAGGTATTTTTGTGTAGCATCTTTTGCAACCGGTTATTCCTAATTCATTCTTCTCAAAAATTTGAAAGGTAATTGATTATCATTGAGTGCTGGAAATAGTTAGTCTACATGATGAGTGGTGTATGTAAATTATATCAGTTCACCTGAACCCCTGGTAATGCACTGTTTTGCTCAATACGAAAGGAACAAAATGTGAATTTCCAACGCTAATATCAAATCAGTTCTTCTGTATGATTCAGAGAATTGGTGTGTCACCAAAAGTATTTCCGCTAGTCTGCTGCAGACTTTTATCAACACCTGCCTTTGCCCGACACTGAAGATGAAATAACTGGCCAGAAAAGATAAGCAATAATGAACTCCACCAAGCAGTGGACCAGTCAATAACCCCATTGGCCAACAGGTTTGCAAAGGGAAATGGAAACGGACTGGATATATGCTGAGGAGACCGTTGTGTAACATTACATGTCAGACCTTCGAGTTAAACCTGATTGGGAAGGGATTGGCTGAGCAAGCGCCCGAGGGTGACACAGAATCCCATGTGAGTAGGGAATGGAAACTGATAAGCAGCTGAGGAGCCTGCTAAAGGTGACTGCATGGAATGGAGATGTGCCACTGAAGCCCTATTTTCCCTTCGGAACGCAAAGAATACGTAATAATGATAATAATATCCCTCAGTAATTTCCTATGACCTAAGTCGAGTAGGTGACTGATGCATTTCGATCAATATGTAAAACTGGAAAATCACAAATCCACATTAAATGTGTTACTCTTACTGTTTCTATTAGTTTCACCGATTAGCAGTTTACTGGAATGGAATACTGAGGTTTTACTCATCAGTTATTCCAGTCAATATAGCTGTGACGTGTCATCACGATAGGCTAACTCACTTAGTAATATATGTATATGTAGACAATTCAATAAATAAATTAGGTCAAATCTTAAAAATGAAGCAGTACTAAAGGAACTAACAACATTTATAGTGAAACAACTGTTCCTAAGATTTCAATTTAATGGGGACGCGGCTAGTGGGGTCCTACATCTAAGAATATCAAGGTCAATAAAATGAACTTATACCGCCACCGCTCTTTGTTTGTCACTTTCCAACTAAGCGAAAGGCAAGCTATCCAGCTGTGCCACTTCTACGTGTATTTACAAATTTAGTTCCTCCTGTGGAGTAAGTTGTAGGACGAACAACTGGACAGCTCAACAAACGTATTAATGAGCGTCCTTCTTCATGGCTTGGAAAAGGTCAAGTTAAATCTATCAGAAGTTCTATTTTGTCTCATTTGGACAAGGGCAATTTAAACTTTAATTGCTTTCATTAGTATTATCAAATATCCGTCAGTAGTTGCGTGTCTTCTTGGTGTCAGATATATACTACCCCTTCCAGTAGATGTTGCATCCTCTAAGTGCCCATATTTTAGAAATTACTGGTGAAGTTATAATGAGTAAATAAAGACTTAACTAAAGGGATACTATTGCCAATTATTAGGATAGAACTTAAACATCTAAGTACTACCATATTCTTCTGAATACTCCTAGATTTTTGGAGGAGTCAGAGGTGTATCGTATCACGTTTTGTATATGTATGTTATCACGTTTTGTGTAGAACAGTAATACAAAGCATGGGCAAATTTACTTAAAACGAACACGGTGTATTTGCTTCATCCTGGAACTGGCATTTCATTAAAATAATGCCCACCGGAGGCCAGCAGGTTGTCTCATTACAACAAGAAATCTACCATCCCAGGTTGGGTGGTTCAGACATCAGTTCGTCTCTTGTTATCCTGGCGTGCTTGTAAACACATGCCGTATCAAACAGTGTGAAGATTGTCACGAAGTGCAGCAGCTCCAAACTGACGATTGAATGCAGTGTAGAGAGCATCTGCTCTTAAAGTCCTTAAAGATCACTTTTTACACCTTGTTGTCAACCTGTATCACATGACAATGAGGCTTTTGTTTTGTCTTTCTAGAAAATAGTTTGTATTATAATAGGATGTAAAAGAAAATTTCAGACTACTTTATTTATTTTTGTTTACAGTGGAGAATGGCAAACAGCCAGATTTAAAGCCTACAACTTTGATGCTCTTGGTGCTACTCTACCGTCTGGACACTTACATCCTCTTCTGTGTGTTCGCGCAGAATTCTGCAGGATACTTTGTGATATGGGGTATGTTTTTTATATAAACTTTCCTAATTGAAGAAAATAATTGTTCGCTCACTGTACGTATTTGTGAGTATTTTATTGTCTTTACTCGCACTAGATTTAATAACTTCTACGCCTTCACTGAAATACGCGTTAGACAGATCAATTGTTCATCCCTTGTTTAAATTCTCTTGTTTTTATTTTTTAATTTTTTATTACAACTTGATTCCACACTGTATTTTTGCCACAAGTAGGGAATTTTCAGCATGGATATCGGTAGCCCAGATTTTGCAGGTCGACCATAGATATCAGGTGTGCGTCGGCAGGGGATCGAACCTCGGACCACATGAATGGTCGGCGAGAATCCTAACCACTGTGCCACCGACGCACAGTAGTAGTTAATTTGTCAAGTTTTCTAAACAATAGTTGATATGTATCCACATATATATATTTATGTGTGTGTGTGCATGTTGGTCTCTCTTTCTGTTTGCTCGGTTAGTCTGTGACCACTTCACTTGTATGGACTTGTCTCCTTTAATAATGTGTATTCTCCTTATATTATATTATATATAATATGAGTGTTTGTTGACAGTCCGTTGCTTGGTGACATATATCCATATATGTTTGTTGGCATGTCTGCTATATTCGCTATGTATAATTGGATCGACACTCCATTATAATTAGCCATTCATGTTAAGACTGTCTAATGATTTTTCCCACGCTTGTCTGAATTATTTATATATATTCGCATTCACAATTTGTGTGAACTACTTTACAACTACTTACTTACTTACCACTTTGGTGTGAGACCATTTATTTTCGTCTCCTTGTGTTTGGACAATAGAAGTATCATCGCAAACCTAGTGGTCTTCTGATTTCCGCCTTCTCGCGTCAGGACTATTAGTTTCTCGACCAGTCCATAACAATAATTTAGCGACGAGTACATAACAATTTGGCGACGGGGAAAACTAGAACATAACAATTTGGCGACGGGGAGGGATACTATTAACCACTCAGCAGCAGCAACATAACAATTTACTATGGATTATTCTAAATTGGAATTATTGTTTGAACAACAATGAAATTAATGGAAATGTTCGTCAACCAACAGACTGGTCCAGCTTCACCTTCAAGCAATCCCAATCATACCATGCTACCATCTGTCGACGGAATTGTGAACAGCATTTCACAGTTCAATTATGACCCAGAGGCTAATGTCACTTTTGACACATGGTATCAACGTTATGAGGATTTATTCACTGTTGATCTCGCCTCACAAGACGATGCCTGGAAGGTGCGAGTTTTGCTACGTAAATTGGGTCCGGCAGAATATGAACGGTACTGCAACCTAATTTTACCACAGAAACCACGTGACAATTGTTTCGATGATACAATAAAGTTGCTGCGTGAACATTTCGGAGACCACTCCTCATTATTCAGTATACGTTATCGTTGCCTCAAGCTGGCAATGAATGAAAATGATGATTTTCTTACTCACGTTGGCACAGTCAACCGAGAATGTGAGAGATTTCGACTCAGGTCCTTAACAGATGATCAATTCAAAGCCTTGATTCTCATATGCAGTCTCCAATCTCCTCGTTTCACAGATATCCGAACTCGACTGCTCAATCAGCTAGAACAAAATCCCAAGTTAACATTACATGACATAGCTGATGAATATCAACGGCTGATTAATCTGCAGAAAGACACACACTTGGTCGAATCAACACCTCCGAGAAGCTCTGATATTCGTGCATTACGCAAGAGCAAAAATCTCTCATCATCCAGTCCTGACCCACCTTCTTCTAATGTCCCGCGGAAATCTACACATACTCGTCCAACTTCACAAAATACTGCAAAGAAGACCCCACCATCACCATGCTGGCATTGTGGCGCGTGGCACTTTGTAAAGTCTTGTCCATACAAAAATCATCGTTGCAGCAAGTGCAAGATCATCGGTCACAAAAATGGTTTTTGTCAGCCACGCAACCCAGATGTCAAAATCCAGCAAAAGCTCAACAAAATGTTGGTCCTAAATCTCCAAAAAGATCACTGAGTCTACGTGCAACCTGTCAAGTCACAACACCAGCTATGCGGAAATATATTGACCTTCAGATGAATGGTCATGATACTCGTCTGCAGCTAGATACTGCCTCTGATATTACTGTTATATCAGAGAAACTTTGGAATTATATTGGCAGACCACCTATCACCAATACTTCCCAGTCTCTTCTCAGCGCCTGTGGTGGGCGGCTCAAACTAATTGGTGAACTCAAATGTTCTGTTTCCTTCCGCAATACCAAATTCACAGGAATTTGTTACGTCACGAAGAATGATTTAAATGTTTTGGGACTTGATTGGTTCGATCGTTTGCATCTGGCTGATGTCCCACTAAATTCTCTACGCAATACAGTGAAGAAGCATAAAATGCTAGACAATTCCGGACGGAGCCGAAGCCGCAAACCCAACAATCAGACGAAACGACAGGCGTCAACAACAAGCCCAAAGGTCCCAGATAAACCCCCAGGTAAACATCCTACTAATCATCCATCTTCTCAAAAGGGGAGGTGATATGTATCCACATATATATATATTTATGTGTGTGTGTGTGCATGTTGGTCTCTCTTTCTGTTTGCTCGGTTAGTCTGTGACCACTTCACTTGTATGGACTTGTCTCCTTTAATAATGTGTATTCTCCTTATATTATATTATATATAATATGAGTGTTTGTTGACAGTCCGTTGCTTGGTGACATATATCCATATATGTTTGTTGGCATGTCTGCTATATTCGCTATGTATAATTGGATCGACACTCCATTATAATTAGCCATTCATGTTAAGACTGTCTAATGATTTTTCCCACGCTTGTCTGAATTATTTATATATATTCGCATTCACAATTTGTGTGAACTACTTTACAACTACCTTACTTACTTACCACTTTGGTGTGAGACCATTTATTTTCGTCTCCTTGTGTTTGGACAATAGAAGTATCATCGCAAACCTAGTGGTCTTCTGATTTCCGCCTTCTCGCGTCAGGACTATTAGTTTCTCGACCAGTCCATAACAATAATTTAGCGACGAGTACATAACAATTTGGCGACGGGGAAAACCAGAACATAACAATTTGGCGACGGGGAAAACTAGTACATAACAATTTGGCGACGGGGAAAACCAGAACATAACAATAGTGTGTAGTGTATTTCTGTTTGTTTGATTACTTTCTCTATTTGGCTTTGAATTGTAATAGATCCCTTTGTGTTACATTATTCATCATCAGTTATATGCATGTGGATTTGTTTTGTAATATTGAATGTTCGATTGAGATGGTTATAGCAGCAAATGAATCTAACATCAAATTCATTGACAGTGTTGATCGTGATGTAAGTTGGAAACCGCATCGAAACTACTCGAACGCCACAAACCTTTGCCAACTTCATTCAACAGCTATATGATGATGATGATGATGACGTCACCTGGTATCGGTAGAAGCCCAGAGACTTGGTAAAACAATGTTTATTCAGCGTTTGGCATTTCCATAGAGCGAAATTGTGTACACGTTATCTTCAAATCACCACTTGCACAGGTCTTCCGTGTTGTGCTAATTCTGGCCTTCATACTGTGTTTCTTCGTCTTTCTTTTCACGTCTCCGTGTATTTCCGCTACGCTGAATCACTAAGTCCATCTCTTTACTATTTGATGTTTTTATGCCGACAAACGTTTCGTTATATACTACTGGCAAATCATATCAGTAGTACACGCCCTTTTCATTGTAAAAGCTGATTGAGGCCTTTGAAGTGAAGACATGAATAAGACAAGCCTGCCAACTATCATCAATGATATTCCTGGTTATAGTGGACTCGATCATACAGCAAACCATGACGAGCGAGAAGAGATGAGAATGTTGGACTGACAAGAATATTCTAAATCTGAACTTCGCTCAAGATTTATGTCTAATGTCGTATCTACTCAAAGATCTACAGGTGAAAACCAAAAAGTTGGAAGAAGAAGAAGAAGGAGGAGGGAAAGCAAAACTTGACGATCCCACTATTTGAAAAATCTAAACTGTTGAATGCGTAATGGCGTGGTTCTGAGATAGATCTTCTGGATATTTTTTGGTCCAAATTGCTGATTTCTTCCAGAATTAGGTATCTCCTTGATATTCAGTATTTCTGCAACTGCTGTCGTCCTATCCTCTATAGAGCTAGACGCTGAAGTGTACTTACTGACTGGAAGAACGCAATTCATTCCCTTAAAACCCGATTTACACAACCGGAGTGTGTTAAAGATAAGCAATTTCAAAGCTTTTGACACTGTCCCGTGGTACGTATGTAGACAAAGCTGTGCTCAAAACGTCGTCTAATATGGTATGCAATTTAGTATAGTTATTGGTCTGTTAAATGTGTCTGTGCAAAGTTTCACGATGAATAAGAAGATGAATGTTTACTGCATAGTGGTATATTATTGCTGCTTCATAAACCCCAACTAGTACATCAAACTAAAGTGATTCACATACGGCTAAACAGGTAGTCACTGGGTATATGAATTGTTAATATACACCAACATAATCAGTTTCAGTTTGCTTCTGTGGTGCAATTTTTGAAAATACTAGTGACATGCTGTTCGACTAACAGTGGTCGTTAGCAGTAGAATTCACAAGGCGTATTTTGTCCTAATTCGAACTCGCCAGGAAAACTTATCCCCTGTACATCTGCGGTGAGTAACGGTGTTCGCTTTGAGATCAGAATTCAATACCCATTTTTGTCTAGTATAAATCAGTCAAAATGCTGTGACGTGCGGGAGGGGAAGGCTCGGAAGAATCTATATTAACCTAAACAAACAACGAGTGAACTTTTGTTTACTTTAGTTTATTTGTTTTTGTTCTCATTTTTCTGATAAATTAGATTTTCTGAAATGCCAACAAACAATTATGTTGAATCTAGTTTCTGGAATTTCGATAGCCTTTTCCAGCCTCAACAACACCCTGCTCGAGATGCTCATGACACATTTTTCGTTTCAGGTAGTGTATGTTATTCATTTGAAGAGTTCTTTATTATTCCCCTCTTTATAAGGATAATTATTATTACAATTATTGTACGTCGATGTTTCATTGGCGGGAACAGTCTCCAATTACGCTCGTGATCCAGGGTTCTATTTTTAACTGGCAATCTCCTACACTCCTCGCTTAGCCAGTGGTGTGTACCTAATAATGAGGAAAAGTTGGCCGTGTGAGACTAGCGATCCCATTCGGTAAGAACAATACCATAGCTACTGAAATTTCATAACTCAAGCTTAACGCCCCTATGCTCCATTTGGAACGCAAAGCCTTGAGAGAGGATTTCTATTTTTCGATAAAGAAAGAATAGATATTTCATAGGTCCTCATCAGCTGCAAACGTTTCCAATGTTTGAATGATAGTAGAGAAAACATTATAAAACCAACCAACATACCCAAAATGTAAGCATTACAATTCTTGGTCTAAGTTTAATTTACCATGAATTTATTTTTTTCCTTCACGTTTCCCAGTGGAACATAGGGCTTCAAGCTGATGACTTGAAGTTCCTATAGCAGTGTTTAGTTTCTACAGGATGGGGTTGCTAGCCTCATGCCCAACCTTCCCTCTTTACCAGCATTATTTCTGGCTTAGCGAGGTTAAGGAATGAGTCGGCCGGGGATCGAACCCCGGACCATGTGCATGGTCGGCGAACGTCCTAACCGCTATGCCACCGACGCACACTCCATCAATTTATATACTCTCAAAAAGAAAACGAAAGGGTGGAGGAAAGGAGAAGACAAAAAACAGAAAAATCGAATAAACAGTGTTAGCTTGTAGTTGGTTTACGCAGCAACTCAATGAGGTTATAGTCTCCTGGTTGTGTCGTTTAGTGTTCTTACTAATCCACGCTTATAGTTTATAGGACGGGAACTGTTGCTGCGTAGATATTGTTCGATCCAGGTTTCTTTTTTGTAGATGGATTCACCAACCGTATCTTCGATTCTTCTTCTTACATTCAGGTCCAGCAAGTTGAACTCATCGTTGTGTTCTTATTCCATTGCGAAACTTAATGTTTGTGTATATCTCATTAAGACGATCAAATAATACAGATGCCTGACTCGTGTTGTTACAACCAAAAAATGTATCCTCGATATTTCGGCGATAGAAGGTTGTTTCATTGATAGTAGAACCTAATCACTTCTGTTTAAGATAACGATTTGCTGCACCAATTGAAATCAAACATTTCAAACCAAACTTATGAAGCATACAGAAAGACAGTGTAATCTCTCTCTCTCCCCCTTGGTAACCACATTTTGATTACACTCATTAGTCATGCATATTAGTGATTTCAGCTCACTGAACAAGTTTCCAGTTGTATGAACTATAACCTCCTTGAGTTGCTGCGTAAACCAACTACAAGCTAACACTGTTTATTCGATTTTTCTGTTTTTTGTCTTCTCCTTTCCTCCACCCTTTCGTTTTCTTTTTGAGAGTATATAAATTGATGGAGTGTGCGTCGGTGGCATAGCGGTTAGGACGTTCGCCGACCATGCACATGGTCCGGGGTTCGATCCCCGGCCGACTCATTCCTTAACCTCGCTAAGCCAGAAATAATGCTGGTAAAGAGGGAAGGTTGGGCATGAGGCTAGCAACCCCATCCTGTAGAAACTAAACACTGCTATAGGAACTTCAAGTCATCAGCTTGAAGCCCTATGTTCCACTGGGAAACGTGAAGGAAAAAAATAAATTCATGGTAAATTAAACTTAGACCAAGAATTGTAATGCTTACATTTTGGGTATGTTGGTTGGTTTTATAATGTTTTCTCTACTATCATTCAAACATTGGAAACGTTTGCAGCTGATGAGGACCTGTGAAATAGAATGATGCCATCATTTTAATCCTGGAAATCTAATCTTTCTTTATCCCTGGTTGACAGAGGAACCAAATGTTTAGAATTATTATTATTTCTGCCATTAAGTTGGTTGATATTTTATTTTAAAGGGTTTGTGATATAAATGAGAAAAGTGAAAGGAATAAACTAAGAAGGAAACTCCCAAAGCTATGGAGAGTGTTTCTGTTGAATCTTGTAAAGCAATGTCACTGGTGTCATCGGTATGTTCGAATTGAATATGCTATAATTAATTAGTGATTAAAATGTTAATAGTACGTAGCACAAGTACTACTTTCTGAAAATGTTTTCCATGAATCGAAACGAAATAGAAAACAGTTGATTACCAAAATTGTTTTAAATATTCAAGTTGTGGTTTTCCGGGTCCCAAAGAGTCCCAAGCTAAGACGAAACAACAGTCCAGTTCCCCCCAGGTTCTCGGATGGTTCTCTAGCCGATGACAGCTCATGATGAAATCCTGTAATCAATCAAGTCTTCTAAAACCAACACTTAAATAACAGCAGGTCAGGTAACATTGGCCAGTCGTATCGCTTTATCGGGAATTCAATATAGAAAAAATCCCCATTTAGACATTTAGAAAGCAGAAGGATTAAGCGAAGAAATATTTAGTTTTCAATTAGATCCTCATCTGTGGCTCTACTCTAAGATGTATAGCATTTTTATTGCAATACACAACAGTTCACCAGTCAAGTGGCACCAATATGTTTGTTAACAGTGATTAGTCAGTGTCAAAACGTCAATGGGTCGATAATTAACGAAGCAAATCAATACACATTTTAAAGTTAGAAATGGTTAGAATAAATTAATTTTACAAGAATAACACGTAATTGAAGATGAAGTGGTCAAAATAAATAAAGAATAAAATAATTTGGACAGTTATAAATTTTATAATTTTTAAAGGTTCATGGGGAGGGGTGTGAAGTAGTCCGGTTTATACATTCATGTAACGATGCCCAAGGAACGTAAGGAAAGTGGCTGTACAAATTTCTTCTGAACACACAGGTTTGGCTTCTTCAGATGGATTCCGATTGTTTCAGCTGTAGGTATGTAGAAGACGAACTCGTAGAGCAAAATTAAGATTAGTAGGAATGCGATTAATAATTTTAAATGCAGTATTAACGTCAACCTTATGCTCCCTATCTACAAGGTGTGCTACAATAGAGCTACGAATAGATCTTGTTTGTTCCTTGCTTAACCATGTTGGATGATGTTCGGAAATACGATGATGCACCTGCCTTCCTGATCTACTTCTGGTGTGACCTCTGTAGTTGACTTAACTCACAGTCGTTGCAAGGTATTTTGTGAATTATATTATTTTTTCTAATTGGATCACGTAATTTAGCCTCTATGATAATAATCATTGGTAAGCATGTGTGTACCAGAACACGAGACATGTGAGTACCACTGAGATCAATACGAGACTCCGCTAATTAGATAAAATATACCTAGTGCATTCTTTTAATTATCCAATTATTGGGATGTTGATCTTATGTGCATTAGTCCACCCCCTGACATTTATACTCTCAAACTCTGGATGGTGTGGATCAGCGTCTATGCCCTAATATTTATCTCAGTTTTAATATCACACTCTCGACCGATAACCGCTACCCTGACGTGGTGGTCGGCGTTGCATATCGCAGAGACCAAACAAGCTACACTGGCTGGAACTAAGGTTTCTGCGGGTCCTATCACGGCAGCAAGATTGTTAGGATAACGACTAGACTAAAAGCAGTTACCTGCATAATGTAAGATCTTTTGTGTTTACACTATGCTGGGGGATCTGTGGGGATAGTTGTATTGCTGGGGGACGGATGGAACAGCAGTAAGGTGTTTTCCTCAGATACCAAGTATGCTATCTTCACTCTGGAGAGAGGGGTTTAGAAAAGGTTGACCCCAAAAATTCTATGTCCCCAATTAATCAACGGTGGTTCAGTGGTAAGTTACTAATACGCAACCAGACCAAAAAGTCGTTTGAGACAGGCCGTGTGTGACCGACTTCAAGCGGCTGTCCACTGGGCTCTGCAGTCACGCAACACATTCTCTCTCTGATTCAGGTACCCGAAAATTTAATCCACTTCCGTGGTGTGTGCAACCGGGAAGTAACATCCACACGCATTTACAGAACACACGAATTTTTATTAGCTGTGGTGTTATTTTTACCGGATCGGGGTTGCTTGTCTCACACATTCCCTCTTTACCCTGCTTCCCGTTTGCTAAACGAGGTTTAGTAGTGTGTCTGTCCGACGATCATTCTAACAATCAACCACTGACTCATGCACGGTCTGATTACTTTCTGTTATTTTCAAACAGCTACTAATTGACATTATCCTATCCTCTATGTTAATACCTTTCGTTCTTACTGTTTTCGTAGATCCTATGTTTACTGATGTAAACAAAACAGTCGATGCTAGTTATGTTGATAAGGTTCGTACTGTGCATACTCAAGGTGCTTTCGGTAGTCGAGGTTATCAGTCAAACTGGTCGATGAAAGAGGCTGAAAAAAATGTATTACGTACTCATACGACAGCAGTCAGTGCGCGTATGCTTTACGCTCTGGCAAAAAAGGTACGTCAAATAGTTTTCATCCAAGTTTTGCCACAATGCGTCGTATTTGATGAATACAGAAACCTTTTTATAATGATGTATTTAGTCGGCATTGTATGAAGCATATTCTATCTTTATTGACCGTTGTGGAAAAAATAACTTAAACTAATCTAGTTTATCGAACGGATATTAGTGTGATAAGGTTTTATTTATTAAGATCAAGAAGGGGGGATTTATCGGGGACTACTTCATTAATAAACGCCAAACAATTCCATTGAGTATGGTTATTATTATTATTGTTTGGTGTCGTGTGATTATTATTATTGCCATTGTATGCATGTATTGATTTGTTTTGGTTTAGAAATGAATTCTCTGTGTATGTTAAAATTGCTTCTGTACATAAACTTAACAATGTCTGGGTTGTAAGCAGTTGAGTTGATGAGAATTCAACGAAATATAAACAATGATTGCACTATTTTATTATTCTGTACAAGCACCTGTTGTTCTTGCTTTATTCAAATTCATTAAGGCGAATCAATCAATGAAATCTGTTTATTATTAACACTCAGGTTTGGCTCAGGTTTAATGTATACATATTCACTGTTCAGCAGTATTCAGTAGTAACTCCTTCTCTGTCTCTCTTGTATTTCTCTTTTACGATGATGCAAATGTGTTCACATTCTGGAATCATTTCTTGACCATTTTATCAAACCATGCATTTAAGATGGCAGGTTTGAATGCTATCGAAACCCGTCAAACTGTATCATCACATCTGCACTGAGCAGGTGTAAGATGTAACTTAGCGGTACCATAAGTCTGCAAATATTTATTTGAAAGTTGGATGCGCAAACTAGTTTGCAAAATTCGGAAGATGCCTTTTCTTCACAAAACAGACTATAATAGAAAACTTGTGTATGTTTGTTTGTTCTATACTTATTTTCCTTCAAATATTGTGTATATCTTTCTTACAGACTCCATTTACTCCTGCAAAATATTACAGTATTGATCGTGTATTCCGTAATGAGAATTTAGACGCAACTCATTTGGCAGAATTTCATCAAGTCGAGGGTGTAGTCGCTGATTTCGGTCTTGGTTTAAGTCATTTGAAAGCTGTAATTCGGACATTCTTCGCCAAATTAGGACTGCATCAACTACGTTTCAAACCAGCCTATAATCCGTATACTGAGCCCAGTATGGAAGTATTCAGCTATCATCCTGGTGAGTTATGAACACAAGTGTTTTCTAAAACGATAATGCACATATAAATACTGACAAGAATTGAGTTGTACTTCAGAAAAGAAGTTACTGAAGTAATGATCACTGTATAACTTCACACTTTAAGAGTTTTTTCAGCTGCTGTATTTTTAGATTGACATTTCTAAGAAATTCTGAGCTTCTGTAGCTTCTATGCAATATCAGATTGTGAGGAAATTCCCCTTGATTTCTTTTTGGATTGTCTTATCGATCAGGTTAGAACCATCACCTCACACTCAGTTTATTTAAGAACTCTAATTAGATATCTTCAAAAGAAGAAAAGCGTGACCCAATAATAATTAGTGTCAATAACTTTCTTCTCAGTCTAAATAGTATAGATTTTATTATAATAAATAAAAATTTATCAAGAACTGTACCATGGCGGATGAAATGGAATGCAGTTAACTGCGATTGTGATTTATTGCATGTAAGGTAGATAGTCAGTAGAAATGGGACAAGATGATCGATATATTGTTTAGAAATGGATCACATATTTATATGTTATCGGTGAAGAGGAGTGAAAAAAACTGGCACACCATCTGGAACACTTGTGTAGACTCCAATCGCTGTATAGTCCATGCATGTATACGCTTACGACTGAAAGGACATAGGAAACATGCAGTTGTGATGCCTCTCAGGGATTGACAGGAAGGCTGATTCGAACGAAGCCTGGCATCATATTCAGTCAGCTGTAGAAACTGATTAGATTTGTAGCTAACCTGAAATAAAAGGTCACTAAATGTCAATGGATTCCTGCTGCTTCATCAGAACTGATAGACGGAAAAAGGCTAATTCCAATGGGATCCGGAAATGATTAGAAATGAAAGCTGCTCAAATGCAGGTTGATTAAAAGTCTTCATCATGATCGTGAATAGTCCTGGGTGACAAAAACGAAATAGATGGGAAGCGCATCAGTGGTAGGTAGCACAACTTTCTAGACTTATTAAGGATTGTAAAACATAAATGACAAGTCAGATAGTTTCTGGAGAGAATTGTACTTTAATCATCCCTCAGTAACATTTTGAAGAGTAATTCAACTCACTTGCAGCCATGCCAAGTTTGCCCAACATCCAAAACTTATGTGCATACGATCAGACATCGGTCCTCCAATGGCTACTGAGGTTGCAGAGGCTGCCTATAATCTGAAAAGCGGCAATGCAGCAGAACCTGATTGAATGACTTCAGAGGTGTTTAGGCACCGTGATGATAAAATGTTGTTTGGCTTATCTAAGATATTAGGGAATCAGGGTTAGTTCCGTTAGACTAGTGAAAATTATTGACTACCCCAGTACATATAGAGTAAGAGGAGTCTTCTTGTGATTATCAAAAGGTGACAAGTTTCACTAATCCAAAGTTCTAGAATCAGCGATCATCCATAGACTAAGGGGTGCTTGTGAAAAAACAACAAAGGAAACTAGACAGACTTCAGTTCAGGAAGACAGCATATTGTTCACATCTTCACTCGTCAACAGCTTCCAGCACACAGACATACCGAACAACGTCCAATAATCTCTATATTTCGTGACCTCGATATGGCATCCTACACTACCTACCCCAAGTAAGTGTAACAAAATATTTGTCTATGGATGAAGCGCCTATAAATTAATTCCATATTAGTTTGTTTATCAGATGTATCACACGGTGAAACGATATTATTTACTGGATGACGTTTCAAACAAAATTTATTGTTCATAATCATGTCAATTGCCTATAAAGTATTTCGCATTTATCAAGGCACTCATCTGGAACTCACACAGATGTGTCACAGCTTAAGGAGAGCTATCATCTGAAGCTTAATGCAAACAGTAGTGTCCATCAAGATGCTCACTATCCCCACTTTTCTTCAATTTCACCATACATACACTAACGGGAATGATGCTAACTAACTTCGGAGACTTATCGATTAACTTTTTCCCGGGGAACAGTCTTGTGGACTCCTAGCTTAGGTATGATACTGTCCTCCTAGGTGTAGACACTGACAAAGTGCAGAGAGCCTTGTGAAGACGTTGAGCATCAATCTTCGGATGTTTGACATGTGATTGACCCATGTTAAATGTAAGGTGATGCTTCATGACTCGTGTGCAGCGATTGCTAGTCTTAAGCAAGGGAGTGAAGTGATTGAACGTGCTTACCACTTCACCCATTTGAGAAGTTGCATCAGTTGTGGTGCACCGATTACTGACAAAGTCCTAGTACGGATACGAAAGGCTAGTGTGTCATATGCCGACTGATATCATCTTTCATGTTGACGTGATATTTGAGTATGGATGAGAGGGATGTGTGTAGTGCAGAACAATTCGTTCCGTCCTCCTTTATGACTGTGAGACGTGGCGATTGGAAATGAGGAGTATACAGAGGCTGTTGACGTTTAAAGACTGCGTCAGTGAAATAAAGTTAGGGTGAGAAAGAGTTGGTGGTGGTGAAATTAAACGGTGGAATCAGTCGGTGAAGTGTTTGATAGTCGGTTTGAGGTGTTTTGTTAGATGTTGACTGACTGCGTCGTTGTTGTCGTCGAGGTGGTGATAAGCGATAGTTTGAGAGTGTTGGTGATATGACTGAAGGTCGTTTTCAGTTGTACAGATACATTCATTCTCTGTATTCTACCAGCTAGCCACTGACCCGACTTTCTGTCTTTTCCGAGAATGCTATTGTCTAGCCAAGCATTTGAAGGTTAGAAGTACGCCGATGGGTAATTGAACGCGGACCTCTAACATAGTTGCCTGGCTGTGTATTATTGAACCATCAACACGCGTAGGTGGTGTTGATGGACATTCAGACAATTTGTCAACGTATCGGAATTTTTATCTTCGACCTTTATAACTGTTGATAGCCTAGTTATTTAGGTTACTAATGCACACTGCCATATAACAGATATTTATTAAATTTTGTCTTTTAAAATATTAAACACGTAAAAATTTAATGTCACTTTTTTTAAACCTACACTTGAAGGTCTCAAAAAATGGATAGAAATAGGAAATTCCGGACTATTCCGTCCTGAAATGCTTCGACCAATGGGGTTGCCTGAAGGACTGTCTGTATTAGGTTGGGGTTTGTCGCTGGAACGGTGAGTTAATTTCAGTTTATACATATCTTTGTTGATGGTAATTCTAAAAAGAAGAAATGAAAATATGTGTCACTTAACAACCACTTACCATCTTGTGCAATTAGCAATGAACTACACCTATGGTATAAGGGTAAGTGCACGAAGCGGGGTTCGAAACCATAACCTACTGGTGTTGGACGTAAGGCATCGAGACCGATAAGCCACAGCTTCACGCATGGCGAGGCTCAGAGATGGTTGACAGACTATTGCTGATGTTTAATGAACAAAGAGTATTCTTTTCGATAGATTCAACAGCAGTGTTTTAAATTACATTAGTAGAGGTGTGTCAGAATAGTAATTTTCAAGGCTGCTGGTTTGAATCCTGCGGTAACTCACATTTTCATTTTGCCTTCACTTAATATCGACCATTTTCAGTCGTTTCTGTTTGATATTATCCCAGCTATTGTAGTAGCAGAATACAATTGAAACATTTTGTAACCGATATCATTGCGAAATTGCTTCTCAACTGCTCATCTTGGTCATTTATAAATGAAATTACATCAAAAATTTCCTGTAGACCTTATTGGAAGTAGTTTGGGTATTCCTCATTGAGTTTTAACATCTCTTTATGGATTACACTACGGAGGCTACAGTTCTTTTTTGTATTTTTTTTCTTGGGAAGTATTCACTGTAAATTAGAGTTGTTGTGAGTTTATTGTAAATAACGCATTACTCTTCATTAGAATAACGGTTTTTGTATTTCCCAATGAATGATAAAAAAAAGCGATATTGTTTTTACTGACGTTACGCTATTTAATGCTAATAGCTTTATCAGAGTATTATAACGCATTACTGTCTTTGAGTATTATTCTTCTTGACTGAAAATACAAGATTAAGATACAGTATTGTGATATGTAATGAATCTCTGACCTGAGCCCCTAGAAACTAAGGAGCAGTGGACAGTTGTTTTCAGAAATCCTCACTCATGACCTTATCAGAGATATAAAACCCAGGAAGGTTGGGTTACAAAGCGACTGGGTTAACACATCTCAGCCAATTCGGTGGGGGAAGCTAATGTTCAACACTAGATGAATCTGCTCAAGAATATTAACTGGAAAAGCCTAATAGTATTTGATATTATTCATCAGGTGAACTGTGTAAGACAACTGTTCTCTATCAGATTTTAGATTTATCTCAATGTCTGACATTTTGATTCAGTTATCGTATATGGGTTAATGCTGCCTACCCAATTATGCATTCATCATTGCATTAGCTGGCCAGACGCCTATTCTTATTCCCACGACATAAATCGAAGCGACTAACATAGGAAGATTGAATTATCGTCTATATAACGACTAGTCCGCTTCACAGGATGATCCTGCATACCCTTCTGGTCTCCTTCAAGAGGCTGAGATAAATATGTTCGATTCTCCTGCTAACCAGTGTATAATTACCCAGTCGATGGGTGTATCATTATATGCCCAAGTTCTACTCTTACACTGATAAATTACCGTCCGTTGAATAATCTGTCTGTGATCTAATCCGAATCGATATTCTCTCATAGAAGATTGTTTTCACTTATTTTTTTTGTTCTTTTCTGTTAGACCAACTATGATTCGTTATGGTTATAAAAATATTCGTGATTTGGTTGGTCCAAAAATTGATCTGAATATGATATACAAAACACCATTATGTCGTATGGATAAATTTTAACATTAATCATGTGTGTACACGATTTCATGAATAAATAACAAGTGGTAGGTTGATTCACCGCTATTTTTTCTGGAAAACTTGTATTTTTTGTTGTTAAATGTTTATATTTGTAAGGTTCCGATAAGAGTTTTTATTGCAAATGTTGAATGTGTTGTACACACTGTATTGGTTTCAACTGGCCTAATCAAATTAGTAGATGATTATTATATCCCTGGGTTCCGGGTAGGACACAAGGCTTAAACTTCACATCTCCACTTCATCTTGTCGTCTACAATCCTCATTAGTTGGCTCCAAAATTGCCCAAAAGATCTCATCTCCTCTTCACCCTATCTCCTCAGAGTCACCTTCGGATGCTTAACTCGTCGTTTCTTATTCGGGTTCCACTAATGCGTGATGTCGCTATTCAGCTTGTGTCCAGTCTACCCCCATTTTATTCGCCGTATCTGTTAAGTGGTTGGTTCATTCCTAGAGTTCCTGGTCGCTTATCCTTTCTGGCTGACCATCTGATCTTCGGTTTGGAACCAGAAAATCCAACTTCTGAAAATTCTTTTTGTAACACGCCAATTCTCTGAACCAAATAGAAGCATCAACTGAGTTGACATTAGTATTCTGAGTTCAGTAGATTTCTATACTGATATCAGATTAATGAAGGTTAGTCTTAGCTTTTCTATCCTGACTGGATTTGACATTCATATCCGTGTCGCTTATTGTTGAAAGTATGCTGCCTACATAAGTGGAAGAAGTGGCTTCCTGTAAATTCCTCATGCTGATGGTGATTCGTGTCTGCTGTTGTTGTTGCTGTTGGGTAAATATTTTCACTTCTATATTCCCTCGTAGTCGTGATCCTCAGGGAAAAAATTCGAGTAATCCTTATTTATTGTTTGTTGTAAATGTAGGATTCTTGTGATAATTTGTTAACACCTACTTAATTGTAACATCTTTAAAAAGTTTAGCTAAGGTAAAGACAATTAACAACAGTAAAGCTTTGAGTAAACTAACCAGCTGTGATATCTGTGGATATCTCCATCATAAATATCGAATTAACTCAGATCCAAGAGCTCTTGTGAATCAAAATTATGAATTAGGATTCTTAGCACGCTTTAGTTGCCTCTTTTTGTAGATTTCTTTATGCTGCTGAACTCTCCAATACACACAGATTTTATGTCCACTATATTGTGCCGGCTAACTTCTCATCACTCACAGTTACTCTTAGTCTTCATCAACAAATCAATGAGAATAGTATACTGTTTTACAGTTCACATTCTGACGCTCAGTAATTCTGGCAATTTTCAACTGTTAGTTTGTACGGATTTCTTTTTTGTCAAGTTTGATCACAGGTTGATATCAGTTAGAAAAACAATGAAAATCACGGAGCAATGAATAGTTGTCTCTTCCCAATTCGGGACTCTTCAGTAGTGCTCACCCATGACACCAGTGGAAGTTGGGCCGCCACTTGAAAATTAATCCGATACACACTAGTGACTGACTACTGGACAAACCTGCCAGAAGTGCTAGTGAGAAGTCGTGATTAGTAGTGGGCCTCCGCCTGGGCAGATATGAAAACAAATAATACTAACTGGTGATATTGACCGGCAGTGACGCTAAATATCGTGAAATGACAGAATTCAGAATCGATGAGCCATTGTATTCCATCCCATTCGTTTAATAGTTAACGAGCTAGCCTCGAAACCTGAAGGTTTTGGGTTCGATCCCTATTGGAGTCATGGATGCGTACTGACGAAGAGTTTCAAACAGGGGTGAAACAGATGTTCAGTGCTCCCTGTTGGTTTTACAGGGGTTCTTTAACCGAAGTTTGTTTGTGATCGAAATTGAACTGCACCAATGGTTTTTCAACATTTTTTAAGGAAGTTTTTTTCTTCTTTCTAATTATTGAAACTGTTAGTAACGCTTTTGTGAGCGTATCGTTGTTGTTTTGTTAAGAGAAAGTTTGTTTTTATTTTTTTTCAGGTCCTCTTCAGTTGTATTTTATGAAAAGACCCGAGTTCCTTCTTATAAACAAACTGTTTTGTCAATCAAACACAAAAATAATTTAAGCTAATACATGATTTTGAGCAGTTCTTTCTGTACTCTTATTGATAAACTGTTATAATTGTGCATGTGTGTATGATGTCCTGGAAAAATATGAGTCGTGTTGTTGTTGAAGTCTTGTATCTTATTTTAGTTGTTCTGTTTTTATTATTTTTTTCTTAATGTGTATTCTTGGTTGCAATATACAGATCCCATTTGAATGCATCAAGGGGATTGTCAGAAAACTTATGGCTGGGTGATGTTGATGATTATTGAAGGAATTCTAAAGTTTTTTGTATGAAATAATTATATGGGAGAAGTTTTCAAATTTCGTTATTATTTTTTACCAGTTTATCAAGTTGTTCATCAGATGCTGTCCGAAGAACATTGACATAAAGATTCCGAAAGGCTTATCAGTTAGTTGTTGATTGCTCTTTGTTTATGTGTGATGTAATGTACTGTATAGTCTTAACCGATAGTTAGTGCCTTGATGTGGCGGTGGTTGGGCTGTCATATCTCAATAACTTAACGAGCTACACTGGCTATGATCAATATTCCTACAGGTCATATCATGAGAGAAAAGTCATTTGGATAACGGTTGGACTTAAACTAGTTACCCTCATAATATGTCTCTTGTGATCCGAATAGTTTCAGCTCTCTAAGAAAACTGCAAGGGAATTTCACCTCAAACCGTGTATTTTACGAATTGCTAATATGGTTGCAGTGTACCCAAAGAGCTAACCAGAATTTGTGAGCTATGAGCAGATTTGAGACTCCTCTGATAGATGAGTCAGACTCCTAACGAGCGAAATGACCCTTGCGATGTTTAGATCACTTTGGTCTGGTAAACAAGTGCTGGTGGTGGTGTTCACCTTGTCACATCAGTCATTAGTACACACCATTGAGTCGCTCATAATATGGTGGGCAGCATGACTGACCTGCTGGTTATCTAAGTGTGATACAATACTACTGTGTAATGTGTGCTCTTAGAAGAGGTCGATTCCGGGATTCGTACGATCAGACTTACCTCGTAGCAGTCCTTAACCGACGATAAGGCCTTCATACCTTCAATAAACACTTCAAACAGGTTGTATGTAACTGTCCTCAATCAGATGTCCGCCAACCCTGTTCTGTGATGACGCATCACTATTACTCTTTCTCTTTTAATGCACTCGGATAATGATAACTGCTCTCACTTCCATAAGTACACAAAGTTTACCTAATCATCATTCTAAACTTCTCCTTAGTATTTATCTTAGTAATGGATTCCCCGATAGCTTGATTAGAACTCATAACCAGTTGAACCAACCGAGTCGGAGTGTGCATTTTGGATTTATAAGAATACGCTTGCATTGAAGATAAATGTCGTCAGCGGATAAAGTCATTGCAAACCAAGAAGGAGTGATGGCGCTATATTTACAAAATCGTTGGCTTATTGTGTCCATCCGTGGGCTAAATTGTAAAGAGTTCACCGCACAAGATAGCATACCAGACGACTGACTGAATTTCACTTAAGACTTACCATAGAATTGCAGCAATTCAAGTTGTCACACCCTGTGTAACCCTATGTAAGTTAGATAACAGAGAGAAAATTAGATTGAAAAATGATGATAAACAGAAAAATAAACAGGAGCAAAAGAGAATAGTAACATGGAAAAACGTGAGGATTTAATGGATCTGGGAGGTTACAGACACAACTGAAAACGACCTTCAGCCATATCACCAACACTCTCAAACTATCGCTTATCACCACCTCGACAATCACAACTACACAGTTACTTTTATTTATCTTACAACACACCTCAAACAGACTGTCAAACACTTCACCGACTGATTCCACCTTTTAATTGCGCCACCATCAACTATTTCACAACCCAACTGTATTTAACGAACGCGGTCCCCAGACATCAACATGCACATGTGTCCAAGAAATCTCAGTCGATGGACTTGCACAACCTCATCGCTTAGCTTACTCTCATTCCTATCTGGAACTCCCTGCATACTATACACCAAACCTGAATATTACACATCATATTATATCATCACGCAACACCTGAGATAGAGTGCAAACATCTGTCGTCGAAGACAGTCAGCCTCTGTATATCTCTCATTTCCAATCGCCACGTCTCACAGTCATAAAGGAGGACGGAACGAGTTGTTGTGCATTACACACATCCCCCTCATCGACACGTGAAAGATGATGTTAGTGAGCATATGACACACTAGCCTTTTGTGTACCTATTGAGATTTTGTGAGTAATCAGTACACCACATCTGATACAGCTGCCCAAAAAAGTGGCTTTTATGATCCTACTTTTTGACAAAATTTATGTAGTTTATCTCTCGAAGTTCACTGTATTTGATACAACCGTTGTACTTGTCACTATTTGACACTTGTATTTAATCAATATATATATATATATATATATATATATATATAAACTTTTTGGAGATCCGTCCAAGGATGACATGAAGTAGACGAGTCATGTCCCGTGTTTGGCTACCTTGTGTTTCTCCGTTTTGTCTTATCATTAGAACCTGTGATGTTCTTTTCGACCCTATATGCAGTAATTGTGGATTTTCATTTATTGAAGGATAGAGTGACTTTCTAGGGTCCAGAATGTACTAATGTGGACATTTGTCACGTTGCATTATCCTTATGAAATATATTTAAGTGGTGATAATGTTTTTGTTAAGTATATTTGTCTTGTGTTTCGTGTATTTGGCATATTTGGAATTTCGTCACCTAGCTCAATGCAGAACAATAGGGCATTTGAATTTTTATATGTTAGGTATTGTAAGTCAGTCACTAGAGTACTCTTACAGATAAAGTTTGTTAAGTAACTGGCCTAAATCCATTTTCTCTCGGCAATTTGTGATCAATATTTTGGTGGCCAATGAGTCATGAGTTGTACCACTGTAAGTTCGCGTTTAAACTATATGCATCAACTTTATAATTGTTAGGTTATTCAA